TAAAACTATAGATTAAACTTACAAGGTGAAGCTAACTTACGGCTGACAATAGATACACATTTCTTATTGATACAAAGCTTCTTACTAAACTCTTTCCAAAAAAAGCAAAGACATGCACGCCTCAAATACTCGAAGCAATGAGTTGCAGACGTGGACAAAATTGTTGATACCCTTCAGTCAATAAAAGAAAAACTCACAATGCTCACAGAAATAACTTTCATCTGACTAAAGTCTTAATAAATAAAAATTCTATGAATGTTAACCAATGAAAGTCAGACATTGTGCTTCAACTGAATTATTTAAAAAATAAATGCATGGAACAGGCCTGGACAAAAATGATGGTACCCCTAGAAAAGAATCAAAATAATGTGACCAAAGGGACACGTTAATCCGAGGTGTGGCCACTAATTAGCATCCCTGGTGTCTACAATCTTGTAATCAGTCAGTGGGCCTATGTATAGGACTCCAGGTAGTCGCTGTGTTGTTTGGTGACATGGTGTGTGCCACACTCAACAAGGACCAGAGGAAGCAAAGGAAAGAGTTGTCTCAGGAGATGAGAAAGAAAATCATAGATAATCATGTTAAAGGTAAAGGCTATAAGACCATCTCCAAGCAGCTAGATGTTCCTGTGACTACAGTTGCACATGTTATTCAGAAATTTAAGATCCATGGGACTGTAGCCAACCTCCCTGGACGTGGCTGCAGGAGGAAAATTGATGACAAATCAAAGAGACGGATAATCCAAATGGTAACAAAAGAGCCCAGAAAGACTTCTAAAGAGATCCAAGGTGAACTTCATGCTCAAAGAACGTTAGTGTCAGATCGCACCATCCATCGTTGTTTCAGCCAAAGTGGAGTACATGGGAGACGACCAAGGAGGACACCATTGTTGAAAACAAATCATAAAACTGGAATAAGCCAAACTACATGTTGACAAGCCACAAAGCTTCTGGGAGAACGTCCTGTGGACAGATGAGACAAAAATGGAACTTTTTGCAAAGGCACATCAGCTCCATGTTCACCGACGGAAAAATGAAGCATATCAATATCCTACTGTGAAACACGGAGGAGGCTCTGTTATATTCTGTGGCTGCTTTGCTGCATCTGGCACAGGGTGTCTTGAATCTGTGCGGGGTACAAG